ATCCTAAACCTTGTAATGAATGTGAGGATTGGGTCACAGGCCACTTGGAGGGCCACCAGGTTGCAGAGATAATACTTTTATCTGCTCCAGTGTCTAGGATTCCCTCAAAGCTCTTTCCCTCTATTTGAAGAGTTAATTTTGGTCTGTCTGCTAAATCTAATACTATGAAGGCTGAATCCCAGTCAGAGGAGCCGAAGCCCCTTTCTCCCCTCTCCGTGTTGGTAGCAGGATAATTGGCGTGGAGACTAGGTAAAACTAAGAGCTGGGCTATGCGGTCTCCCGGGGATATAGGATAGATTCCTCTGGGAGCCGAACACATGATTTTTACCTGTCCTTCATAATCTTGATCTATGACTCCGGGATGAACTACCAGGCCTTTCAATGCAGCAGAAGAGCGCCCTAGGAGTAACCCAATGGTATTTGGTGGTAGGGGGCCTTTAAAGTCTGAAGGGATAGGCTGAACTCCCATCTGTGGAGTCAACACTATTCTGGTGGTGGCACGGATGTCCAATCCCGCGGAACCTGAAGTGGCTCTCCTTGGGGGGCCTGGTTGTTCCCGAATGACACTTGCGTGCTGGTTGCCCCATATATTTGCGGGCCCTGGTGACGGGGGCCCCTCTGGGCGTTTTTTGGCAACTCTAAGGGTTTCCCTTCTATATCTTTAATAGACCGGCACTCATTAGCCCAATGCCTGCCTTTCTTACACTTAGGGCACAACTCAGGGGTCTTTTGGGTTGTTTGTTCTGAAGCTGGGCTCCTACACTCTCTCTTTATATGTCCTAATTTCCCGCATTGAAAGCATTTGATACTTCTGTTAGTGATCCTGGCTTGTTTGTGGCTCTGTAATATGGCCGCGGCTAGGCCCGCATTGGTGAGTGGCCCTCCTATTTCTCTACAGGCTTTCAACCAGGCATGTATCCCTTTTTGTTTCCAGGGTGTTATCGCCTGTCTGCATTCCTTGGTACATTGTTCAAATACTAATTGCTCCACTAGGGGCATTGCTTGTTCCTGATCTCCAAATATTCTGCCTGCGGCCTCCATCATACGAGCGACAAAGTCAGAAAATGGCTCGCTCAGCCCCTGAATAATTTTTGTCAAATTGCCTGATACTTCTCCTTTGTTGGTGAGGGCTTTCCATGCCTTGGCGGCGCACGTGTTTATTTGTGCATATACCTGTAAGGGGAAGGCGGTCTGGTCGGCTACCCACTGTCCTTGGCCCGTCAGCATATCATATGACCATGCAGGCTGTCCTTCGGCCGCGTTTGCGCGTGCCTGGGTCATGCTGATATCATGCCACAATGCCTTCCATTCTATGTATTGCCCCATACTAGAAAGGCATGCCTTAGTTACATATTGCCAGTCTGCGGGTGTCATGGCTGTCTCTGTTAATCTCTCAACTTGTGCTATGGTATAGTTAGCACTGACTCCATAAGCCCGAACGGATTCTGCTAACTCCTTAACTTGTTTATGGCTCAGGGGCTGGTGAGAGCGTACACCGTTATCCTCAAATACAGGAAACATTTGTCTAATTGCCTGAAGAGTATCTGGGTGGCAAAAGGAGAGTGCGCCACTCACGTAAGGTGGCGGGGCAACGGGCGTCGGGGGACACCCTGCTTTCATTTTTTCCTTGGTCCGCTTTTCAACTTTGCTGGTTCCCTTACTTCTACACTCTGCGGTTTTATTTTCTTCCCCTTCCTCTGCGGACGTTAATTCCTCCTCAGATTCCCTATTGGAGAGTTGGAGGTCCCTCAACTCTTTCCAGGGGTATTTACTATTTTCTCCGAGGCGATCGTCACTCGCTTCTCGGGGCTCTTTCGCTTTTGCCCTAGGCGGGCTTTCTCCCTCACTCTGAGGTTTCTTTACCTTCGTTTTTGTGGCCTTTTTTCGGCCGCGCGCGCTCTCTGTTTCCCGTTCCGTTTCTGACATGCTCTCTTGGATATCTGTCAATGCTCTCTGACCTTCTTTTATTACCTTTTCACATCTCTCATCTTGCAGACAAGCTCTAATCAGTTTCCAGAGGGGCCTGGTGCCTCCCCTCAGGCTACCCTCCTCCTCCTCTCTATCAAGATCTTTCCCCAGTTTGTCCCAGCTCGGGATTGAGAGGGACCCTGAACAAATGAACCAGGGGGCCACACGGTCTATCTCCTTCACAAAAGATCCTAAGACTTTGCTGGAGACCTTCAAGTTTCGCTCTTTGAGAGCTGTCTGCAGCGCCGTGACTAATGACGGTGCATTCCCCATGGTGCCTCCTTATTTACAGAGAACCATCAACCATCATCCTAAAAAGCAGGGGCCTCTCGGAACTTACCCCTCCGGGCTTTCTTCTGACCTGCAGTTCTGAATCCTCTCCAGATGTCTGAAGGGTCCTCCCTGTGCCGGTGATGTTCTGGTTCCCGGGTTTCGGCACCACTTGTCGCGTGCCCTGTCCTCGCCGGCAAGAACAGCATGCAACAACAGCAGGATTCTTCTGCAGAAAGCTTTATTCTTCAGCTCTTTGTGAAACAAATGAGTTGGGCAGGACCCAGAGGGGAAGGAGAGGCTTGCTTATATAGTTCTCATGCTCTGACCTGGTTGGTGCGGCTCCATATGCCTTATTAGCATAACCATTTGGTGGGTCTCATTGGTCCTTATGCCAAGGCGCAATTAGCATGTAGTTTAGTGGTGTGGGATGATTTGTCATTAGGAAGTTCGGGGCCTTCCGGCTGCCCTGCATTGGGCGCTATTTTCTGAGCGCGGCTGCCAACACCCTTTTGGTCTGGCCTCTTTCACTGAACCTTGTTTGTGAAATGCATCTGTGTTGTTGCACACAGATGTAGCTTGTTTATTCTTATTATTGATTAGAATTCCTCTAAATGAATGTGTCACAATTTATCTATTATAATGTAGATTAACATTTGTGTTGTTTCCAGCTTAGAGTCATATGACTAGGATTGCTATGAACATTACATGTCTTTTGGCAAACATTTTTATGCCTTCTGTAGGATCTATGCTTTCAAGTAGAATTGCTTGGCCAAAGGATATGCATATGTTCAGCTTTAGTGGATACTAACAAATTATTTTCCAAAGTGGTTATAACAATTTGTACTCCCATAGCCATGTATAAGAATTCCCAGTTGTCCCAAAACCTTGTAATACCTGGTATTTTCAGTTGTCCTCATTTTAGCCATTCTGATAGGTGGACATTGTGGTTCTCATTAAACTTTAAAGCATGTATTTTCTTTATATTTCCTAGAAATATGTTATGTCAATCTGGAGCAGCTAGTATTTTTCCCAGACAAGTCGGCTAGCAAATGCACTTTAGAAAAAATATATTCCCTAGGATTGTAATTGCGGAGCTGAGGCATGCCGTTTTGTCCTAGTTGCAAGGCAACATTAATTAGGGAAGAAAACAAATAATCATATTGTATTTGGGTTTCAGAAAACAATAGTTAGGAATCACTTTTTTTTAGTGTTGTATTAATAGAAAAAAGTATGATTCTCTTAACCTCCTGGTCACAAATTGAGTTTTTATAGATTTTGAATACAACATGCTTTTAAGAAAGTTTAGTCAAGTTATTGTTGAATCATCACAAGCTAATAATAATCCACCCTCATTTTCTTGATTAAAACATTGTTTGAATGACACATAATTTAACAAAGCATCTGTTTTGTGTAATTTTTCACAAGCATTTGATGAACCAGATCATACAGAAGTTCTACATGTAACATCGAAGTACTAAAGGCTGATTGATAGACTGGTTTGATGGTTTTTTACTACAAGGGCAATTCATATCTTTTGGTTGGGTGTCAGGAGGCTGAAAACAGAAAGTTCAGGCAAAGCAAAGTTCATTTTGAACTTATTTTTAGTTTTCATAAATTAGCAATCACTCACTCACCAGTAGTTGACTTAAATTCTTAAAGAAAACTTTTTAAAAAATGTTTTATTTTTAAAGCAAGGCTGGTACATTTATCTCCCACCAATGCAGTTTTGCTACCTAAACTTCTGCTTTGGGCTGCCTTCTCTTTGTCCTAGATTTTAGAGACTAGAGTCCTTCTTTCTCCAGCTCCATAAATATCTGGCTCATCCTTTTAGAAACTCTTATTGTTGTTACTTAGTTTTCCAAAGCTGCAATCAAATGAAGCCTACTAGCTTCCAGGATCAATTCTAGAATTATCTAGTGACATCCTTTATGCACTGGGAATGGAACGTTAGGTATACTTTCACTGTCTTTCTTCTTATCAATACTTTATATTGATTGAGAAATGTACCATACCAAAATCAGCCTGCTTCTTTAAAAATAAGTCAATTTAAAGACATATATTGCATTCTACTTTGAAGATGAGCTTCAAAATTTTAAGTTTTGTCTGTCTAAAAATCTCATGCTCCTCTTAAAAAACAAATAGCAAGTCACTTGGTAGAATTTAGGATATTGCCCAAAGAACTGTGTCCTGGTTAGGATTTGAAATGTGCAAGTATTAAACTACTTTAGGCTTTGGAATCTGGGCAGTATTCCCAGAGTCAAAGCTGACATTAGTGGGTAAGTTCTCATCCTCAGTTAAGCAATCTATTTTGATTATATTGTTGACAATTCCAGATGCTTTCACACTCAGTCTATATTTGTGGAGAATTAGGCAAAATCCAAAAATAATTCTTCCATACATATTTACACATAGATGCAATTGCTATCTTTTCATGAAGAAACAGAGACATTATATTTTGATATATCAGCATTGCCTGTCCTTGCAAGTTGTGTTCCTCTGTGAATCTAGGTATAAATAAACTTTTTAGAACGCAGAACAAACCAGGTCTAAAGCAATAAACTGTAGCAAAACAGATTGGATTTCATCTCCAGTTTTGAGCACCGACTTATGACCTGTGACGCAGGTATATACACACATGCTGTGATTTGGCACCTGCTTTTGCCCTGTGTATTTCTCAACAAAGCTTTTGTCCAACCTGACATTTCTGTACCACCCCTTGGTCCCTTGCCATCTCCTACAGAATACTGTGCTAGGACTTTTTTCTGTGACTCAGTTTTAATCACACCTTGTAAAGCCTTTCTCACTCTACACTCATGTTGTCTTACAAGCTTGAAGGAAGCAGATCAAGGCCGAAACCCCTTGCCCACCATCCAAAAAAAGTGAGTAGTTTCATTGGTTCCCAGAGATGGGATATTATGCTGCGTAAGAATGTGTCCAATTATTAAATTCCATACATGAGACATAAGGACAAGACCAAAAATTCCCTGATAAACTGAAACTGTTCCCTTTACTTTCTTTAGACTTCTTTGCTGTTGTTGTTAAATGTTTTAAAGAAACGGCTGTAGGATATAGAGGAAAGAGCAGTCACAGCTACTGCTCTGTGAGTAGGAAGACCTGAATTTTAATCCTGGCTCCACCATGTACCCACTCAACTAGTTGTATAATTTTGAGTAAGACCTGTTCCTAGTGGTTCTGCAAGTATCTTATGTTAATTTCACAGGTTGTAGGCTATTCTAAGGCTAAACATACACCCATAAACCCAATCAAAATTTATTTTTTTTGCTTATAAAAATAGTTTCATTGTCTTCAGTGACTGACATTACAATCTTCTGTCTTTTAAAAATGTTCTGCAGTTTCACAATTAATATATCAATATATGGATTGCTCTTTTTTTTTAACCTGCTTGGAATTCATTGGGATTCTTAGATCTGAAGATTGGGGTTGTTTGGTAATTCTGGGAAGTTCTCAGCCTTTGTATCTTCAAATATTGTTCCTTTCCTATTTATCATCTCTTTCTAAAATTATAAATAGATACCGTAAGACAGCTTCACTCTGTCCTCCAACGCTCTTACCCCCTTTTTCATATTTTCCATCTCTAGGTGTCTGTGGATTCTATTTCAAACAGTATCTTCAGTTATATTTTCTAGTTCACTGGCTCTTCATCTGGTTCACCATGTCTAATCTGTTTTTTAATTGGTCCATGGAGCTCTAATTTGAATAATGTATTTTTCATTTCTAGATATTCTGTTTGGATCTTTACAATCCATTTCTTTAATAGTTTTAGAACTCTACCTAAATATACTAAAATGTGGTTTTGTATGTCATTTCTGATTCTTCTAATATACAAAGCCTTTGCAGACTGGTTTTTGCTGTTAGTTCCTTCTGTGGGCTGTCACCATGGTGCTTATTACTCTTGTTTGCTTTATAAATCTTAACTGCAAACTTACTCATTTGCCCTGGAATTTTTATGTGTGAATATTTTGTGACTTGGGCCATAGCTGAGTTCATCAATGTAAGATTTGTATTTCCTTTTTCCATTTGTCTTGGGACACTACCAACCTGAAATCACTTTTATATTTAATTCTTTGTTTCAGGCTTTTGGAAGCACACAGGCAGTATGACTTCAGACTGCAAACTAAACCCTTTTCATGGGGAGATAAATTCTCAGAGGAATGGTTTTCCTTCTGTCTAGTGCCAAAATTGAGACAAACAAGCTTCCTAGCTGTTCCTTAGTGCAAGTGGGGTTTATTTACCTCAATTACCCTTATAACGTGAGTGTAGCCCTTCAGGCATCCAAGTTTATGCAGAAGTTTACTATTAGAATCCCTATCTTGGGCGTATCCTGGACTTAATCTTTCGGCTCCTATATATACTTCATGTAGTTGTCTGTTCTGTTTCTAGCATTCAGCAGACAATTTTAGGAAAAAACGGCAAGCTTGCTTGCCTCCAAGTGTTTTGGACACTATACATTGTTTACTTTTATGCCAGCTCAATAGTAACTTTGAAAAAATTTTTTAAAATAATTCTGTCAGCTTTTTGTTGTTTCTCCCAGGAGGACTGGCCATAGTAACTAATACATTACTATGATGGAAAGAGAAGTCTGACTAATTAACTTTATAATGAGTAAATATTATAAATTTAAATATATATAAAACCATATTTATATTAATAAATTACTGACTTTCACTATTTTATCTTTTGTGGATCTATGTAATATTTCTTTTTCAGAAAAGGATTCTGCTCCTTAAAAAGTTTTGAAAATTCCCTCTCTTGACTGTAAAGTGTAATGATTTCACCTATGATGCTGCTAAATCTACTCACTAGCTAGACCACCCCTGATGATGTATGAACTGGACTTAGTCTCACTCTCCCTAAAAGGGTCAAATAATACAGGTGGCGTGAACCCATGCCATATTTTCAAATTTTTGTTTTCTTAGTAGCAAAACCTTTTTGACCTAGACAACTTTAAGCAGAAGCTAACTATGGAGAAGGGGTTTCTTCTGCGGGTGCTGGGGGGGAAGAGCTGAGACCCAAAACGGTTGGATTCCTCCACCCCTTTCCTGCAGTACTTCATGAATTCTGAAAATGTTTGCTTGATGTTTTAACTATGTGGCCTTGAGCAAATGACTTGATCTCTCCGTGTTTCAGTTTCCTCATCTATAAACTAACTTCCCTAACAAAACTGCTATGATGACTGAATGAGTTAAGTATATCAAGTGCTTAGTACAGTACTTGGCACATAATAAACACTATATACAGTTACTTTTTTAAAACACAGGAGAACTTTTATTTGAAGTCTGTTGAATTTTTCATACTTCTTTAAATTTTTACAAATTCATAATTTGTATATTATTTCTCCAGTTTTACTTAAGAGAAAAAAATGATCTCAACCTGAGAGTTACAACAAAAGACCTATTTGTTCCATGTTGTTTTTTTCTCACTCATTGCTTTCTTCTAGCACATAGAGATTTCTGAATCCATAAAAACAAAAACAAAAATATACTATGGGCTCTATACACTGTAATTTTTCCCTAAGACAAAATATAGCCAAGTCTATGGCTTACTTAGATTTGAGATCTGCCTCTATGACATGACTCCTGATTGCTTAATTTCCCCCTTACCCACCCACCTCATCTTGTCTGCCCTAAGATTAGTAAAAGGAGAGGAAGAGGACACAGAGTGAGGAAGAGCTTATGCATTTTTCCAAGGGTAGCATCTTTCAGATGGGCAAGAGGCTGGTGCAGCTGCTGATATAGAAGTGGGCCCATGGAGGGGAAAGTAAATGGCTGAACCAGGAGCCTGTACAGGAGCACAGGAAAGAAAGTCAAAGGCATAGGAAGACCCTGGCTTTCATGCACCCTGTTCATTTTTGAGATGAGGAAACTGAGACCTGGAGAGTTAAAGAAGCCAGTAAAGAGGGAGCAAATCCAGGGTCTAAGTTTGGGAATGGGAGACCATTCCACCTCTGCTTCTACAAAAATCACTAAAGACTTGGTCGAACACATAGCTGGGTCTCTGAAGTACGTGAGGCATGGGAAGGGACATTGGAGAGGAATAAAATAACACACAGTGAAGTGAACAATTCAAAATGCAAAACCACAGGGTCATAGGCCAAACAGAAAGTCAGCTTCTTTAAATACTTTAGAAAGAGCATTGACCAAGAACAAGACCTGGGTTCTATTAGGCTGAATCCATATAAAACTCTTATTTTTGTAGGTCAAAATATCATAGTGCCAATTTCACACTGCTCAACCCACAGTTCCAGCTCCATCACTCTGTAGATCTGTGGGATTTGGACAGGGTCTCCACATCTGTTCAGAGGGTTGATGACTGCCTTACTCAGTTTGCAGGGATTTTGCAAGGACAGATTCAAAGTACACAACATTTACTGAGCATCCGCTGTAGATAATTGCTTGGGAAACAAAGATGACTAAGTTATAACCCTTGTTCCAAGGAGACAGAATTCCAGTAGAGGCAATAGCAACAAATAGAGTTGGATATGATAAGCAAGTAAAAGAGGAAGCAATAAATTCTCCTTGGTTGTGGGTGGTTAGGGAGACAAAGGCCTTTGAATTGGGTTCTAGGGGTTAAACAGAAGTTTCCCAGGCAAAGGGGAAGAGGTATCTCTATCAAGAGAAACCAGCTTGAGCAAAGGTATGTGGTGACTTGAGAAGAGTAGACAGTCCAGTGGGTCTAAAATGTTCAGGGTATAGCAGGAGGGGCTGTGTGAGGCTATAAAGGTTGAAGGGCAGGTAGTACCAGTGTATAAAATGATTAAATAAGACTGCACGCAGGAAAGCATAGAAGTACTTTACAAATATCAGTGCTAGTCATTTTGAAGGCTTACAACAAAGTTTCCCTAAAAATTCATCCCTTTTCCCCCCTCCTCTCACAAGGGGTTTGGCTGAGTCATAACTTGATTTTCCAGATATCTTTATAGTATTTCCTCTCCCTAGTCTCCCCTGCATCCCAGCAAGTGGCACATAGGAGCTTTCAGAGTAGAAGAGAGTGGGGGACAGGAAGTGATTCAGTTTGTGTGAGGAGAGGGCTCTATTACTGTTCTCCAAACTCATCCTCCCCTTCTTCCACACCACTTATCCTGATCTCCCCTAAGAAAGAAGTGAAACTACTACACGCAAGGGAGTAGAGGATTAGTGTGAGGACCGGCCTTCTGCTCTCTCCCTTCTGCTCCCCTGAAAAAATATCCCAGAATGAAATCATATAGTATTGCCAAAATTAGTCATACGTCCCATTTCCTCTCCCTCCTACCAGCCAGGACCAGTTTTTGGGTGCTGTCTTCTTCCAGTAATTGTCTAGTACTCAACAATGGGTTTGTATAATCACATTATACTCTCATAAATCCTCTGCCATGCAAGAACATGCAAGTTTAACAAGGCAGTGAATGGAATTTAAGCTCCAGGAATTCAATTCCACCTCATCCTATTAACAGCTCCCATGGAGTAAGAGAAAGAACCAGATGGGCTTTATTTCAGACTCTGGCTTTGCTATCTAATAGCCAAGTACTTGTTTGTAAAATAATCTCTCTCAGCCTCTATTTCATCACTTCTAAAATGCAGGCAGTCACATTCAAATACCAGGGTCATGGTAACAATTAGAGATATTATATGGCACTCTTTTAAAAACAAAAAACAAGTCCATCCCGTATTACTTAAAATCCTTCTTTGGCTTCCCATTACACTTTGAATAAAATCCAAGCTCCCTCCCCTGGCCTCCAGGGCCCAGCTCTACTTTGCTTCTGTTGCTTTCCATCTCCAACCGCATTACATTGATTAGCCACACTGGCCTTCTCAGTTTTCTAAGGGCTACAGGTTCTGACAGGCCTTTGCTCTTGTTTATTCTGCCCAGATGACACCCTCTC